ACATGCCTGCTAATTTTTTTTGGTATATAGTATTTTGTCAAGTGTGGTCAAGTTAAATTTTCTTTCTATTTTTAGTAGAACGGGTCTCGCTCAGGCGGTTTCGAACTCCCTGACCATCGGAGCATCCTCGTCGCCGTTGCGCCTCCCAGAGTGCGTAGGATTATAAGGCCTTCACTGCGCTGGTAAAAATCACATTTAACTAGCCTCACTTTCAAACTACATACTTCACCAGTCTTTACAAATGAAATCTTAATACTCAAGACAAATGTTTTGGCCAGGTTGCACGCTGGCCCACACGCTATACATCTGAGCACGTCTGGAGACTGAGCGCAGGCAAGCCATCCGGTCTTGAGGCCAAGCCAGTTGCAAGCACAGCTGGAGCAAGTGACGACCCCCCATCCTTAGCAAAAATAGAAAAATTAGCTTAGGCCGTGGTGGGCACACTGCTGGTAGTCCAGCTAGCTCAGGAGGCTCGAGGCCAGGAAGGATTTGCTGAGCCCCAGCGAGTTTACGGTTGCTGGGAGCTACGGCTGACGGCACGCGCACACCCCCAACTCTAGCCGGGCAACGAGTGAGACCTGTCTCAAAAACAAAACAAAAAAAATTCTCATACAGGACGCGCACAACCTAAAGAGACAAAGAATAAGAGAATGCAGACACCTTCACAGAACCGGGTTGTGCTCGCTGTGAGAATCTAATCGCCGCTGCTGCTCTGACCGTCCGGCCCCCCAGAGTGGGCTTACACAGGCGATCGCGAGCGATGGGGAGCGGCTGTAGATGCTGACAAACCTCACCGGCTGCTCAGCCCTTGCTGTGCTGCCCAGTTCCTAACTGGTGATGGACAGGTACCAGTCTGCTGCCGGGGGGCTGGGGACTGCAGCTAAAAAGCATTTATTTATATATATATTTTCCATTTTGTATTATACAAACACATCCTTATTTTTCTAGTGGAAATTGACCACAGAATGTATTCTAGAGCAAATATCAGTTGGTGCTAATCTGTACTGCCCAGAACAACTAACTGTTTAGTTGTTTCAAGAACTGATGTACTACTACAGTTGCTACCAATTTTGGGGTTGATTTAAGAATCAATCAGGAATTTTTTTTTATTAGTATCATGGCTGTCTAGTTATTACCTACAATATGAAACTATGAAGATGCAGAAATCAACCAGGATTTTTAAATTAGTATGACGGCAGTCTAGTTACTACCTAAGACATGAAACCACGAACAAAAATATTTGAAAGGGCTGGGCACAATAGCTCACCCCTGTAATCCTAGCACTTTGGGACACCAAGGCGGGTGGATTGCTCAAGGTCAGCGAGTTATGGGACACCTGGAAGCAAGAGTTGAGATACGCTGTTTCTGACTAAAAAAGAAAGCCATTAATTGCCCAACTAAAAATCATATAGAAAAATTAGCTGAGCATCCGGTGGCCATGCCGTCAGGTCCCACGCTACTCAGGCAGGGCTGAGGCAGGCAAGGATCCGCTTGACCCAGGAAGTTTGAGTCTTCTCGTGAGCTAGGCTGGACTCCATCACACACTCTGCCTGGGCAACAGAGTGAGACTCTGTCTCAAAAAAAAAATTTTTTTTTTTGAAGTAGGGGGTGAATTTGACTTATTAGCTTCCCGTTTTCTCCGTTAGGAAATAGTGCTGTGGTTTTACATTATAATAAAAATGTTTCTTTATTATTTCCTTTAGGTAAAAATTACAAAGCAATAACTTTGTGTTGAAGATGAGGTTGCTTTTAGGCTTTGTAAATTTGCCGCAGAGAAACTGCCTCCCTTTGTGTTTTTTTTTTTTTTTTGAGACAGAGTCTTGCTTTGTTGCTCACGCTAGAGTGAGTGCCATGGTGTCAGCCTAGCTCACAGCAACCTCCAAACTCGCTGGCTCAAAGCAATCCTTCTGCTCAGGCTCCCCCAGTGAGGCTGGACGTATAGGCATGTGCCACCATGCCCAGCTAATTTTTTCTATATATATTAGTTGGCCCATTAATTTCTTTCTATTTATAGTAGAGATGGGGTCTTGCTCTTGCTCAGGCCGGTTTCCAACTCCTGACCTGAGTAATACCGCCCATCTCGGCCCTCAGAGTGTTAGGATTATAGGCGTGCGCCACCGCCACCAGCCCTCCTTTGTTAACAACAACAAAAATTGTTCTGACTTCTACATGCTAATAATGGCACTCATTTATTCTGGTTGACTAAGTACCCTAGAGTAGACGGTATGTCCCTGACACTCAAAACGGCTGAAGAAATCGCATCTTGGGTCATTATTTTTCCA